CCGGTCGTGGGCCAGTTGGCGGTGGCGACAGAGGTGACGCGGGCGCCCTCGGACTCGATCGCAATGTACTCTTGGATGCGCTCGGGTGCGATCATGAAGATCTCCAAGTTGGCCCAAATGGCCACGAGGTAGGTGAACGTCGACGGGATGGCAAGGCTGTACGTCATGAGAAGGCCAATTATGCCGGCGCTCAATTGAGAATGGAGCACGACGACCGCTGTCATTGTGATGGCAACGATACTCACCGCGAGGAGCTGCAAGCGCAGCGAGTACCACGCATTCACAGCGACGTCGGCGACCCGCGCTTGAGCGAGTGCTTCGACATGAACATTGCAGATACGAGTCATGCGCCGGGTGTAGCGCGGCCCAAACGATCGAATCGTAGACGCGCCATCAATGCCTTGAGCGATGAAGCTAAGCAATGGCGACCGCGATGTCGACTTGATGCGGTTGATATCGCGGAGCGGACCGACAAAGAAGGCGCCGAGCGAGTAGTAGACATAGAGCAATGGCAGCACGAGGAGCCCGACCCATTGCGAGAGCACGACGGCCGTGCCAACCGTGCACGCGAGCGACGAGAGCTCAAACAGAATCGGGCCGAGCGAGAACGGAATGCGCATGTCGCAGGACGTGACGTCGTCGCCAAACCGGTTGAGAATCCGCCCGATCGGGTTGGTGTCGAAGAACGCCATGGGCGCTGCGAGAACACTGGAAAGCATCGCATCAAAGAGCTTTCGAGACCCTTGGACGCCGAAGGAAATGACCGCGTACGTCTGCAAAGCGATCAAAAGACAGCTGCCGAGCGCGAGGCCCGCGTAGATGGCCATGTTGACCATCGCAGACGCAGCCAACGTCGCGTGGCCTTCGCCTCCGTTGGACCAGCGCGCCAGCCAAAGGTCGCTAGCAACTTTGAGCAACTGCATCGCGATTGTCAGCGTAAGCACGACAGCGACGGTCGGCCACCCACCGACATGCCTCAGATATGACCACATCAATGCTCCCGCGACACGCCCTTCGGCGCGCTCTTCGTCGGCGATGAGACGACCCGACTCTTCAAACGACTCGCCCGCCACCGGCTCGCGCGGCGTGTACAGCATCTCACGCGCGTTGTAGCTGTACGGCGTGCGCAGCGACGGCGTCACCAGCATCTCGTGGCGCGGCCCCGGCGCCGGGTACTCGATGATCTCCGACTCTTCCCAGTACGGCGTCCGGGCCTTGAGCGGCGTCACCGCCGACGTTGCTTCTTGACGCGTGCGCGGCGAGTCATGCGTCGACTCGATGAGCCGGCCGTCTTGCACCAGCAGCGTCCGGGCGACCGCCGCCGACTCGATGATCTCGGGGTTGTGCGTCACGAGCAGCACTGTCTTCTTGGCCAAGAGGCCGAGGAAACACTTGGTGAAGATCTCGCTGGCCACAATCGCGTCGACGGCCGACAAGGGCGAATCCAAAATGAAGATGTCGGCGTCGCTATAACAAGCTCGGGCCAAAGCGATGCGCGCTTTCTGGCCGCCGCTGAGGTTGATGCCCTTCTGGCCAATCTCGGTGCGGTCGCCGGCCGGCAGCGACGCGAGATCGCTCTGCAGCGCACACGCGTCGAGGACCTTTTGGTACGTGCTGCGGTCGTACGGCTTGCCAAAGAGAATGTTTTCGCGGATCGTGGTGTTTTGGATCCAAGCCTGCTGCGCAAAGTAGGCCACTTGGCCGCCGACAAACACCGAGCCAGTGAGCTTTTGCATCTCGCCGAGGAGCGCCGAGCAGAGCGACGACTTGCCTTGGCCGACCGCGCCATGCAGCACGACGAGCTCGCCGCGCGTGATGCGGAGATTGACGTTCGTGAACGTGGGCGTCGTGGTGCTGTCCCACGTGAACGAGGCATTGTCGATGGCGAGCACGACCTGGTCCTTGGCGTAGACGGACGCGATCGGGTCGGACGGCGTCGAGACGTTGGTCGGGTCCACTTCGTCCATCAAGAGCACGTCGTTAATACGCTTGGCCGAAACAAGCGACTGGACCATGGTCGAGACGACGACGGGGAAGTCAATGAGCGGATCTTGGAGCGACTTAAGAAGGGCCATGGTCGAGAAGACGATCGTGACAGTCAGCGGTGTCGGCATGGCCAGCGCGAAAGTAGCAAAGACCGCGACCGAAACAAAGATGGGCGTGCAGTTTGTAAACGACGTGAGCGTCAGTAGCACAAGCAGGAAGCGCCAGACGGTCTGGCACTCGGTCGCTCGCAGCGCATTGAGTTTACACCGAAAGTTGTCTTCCCATGCATTGAGCTTGACGACAGCGATCGCGCCAAAGACTTCGCTCGTGAGCTTCATGCGCTGGTCCTTCGCCATCATGAAAGTCAGTTGTGCATCCCCCATCGCGCCCGCGACGCGAGTGTTGAGGGCCAAGACGAGCAGCAGCACGCCGAGACCGACAAAGATGGGCCAGCCGACGACCGTGTACAAACGGTACAGCACGACGACGATCTGGACCGGGAGCATCCAGATTTGGTGCACGCTCGTCGCAAAGTTCATGACGTTGGTCGCATCGAGCGTGCAGAGATTGGCAATGTCGCCCGCCGACGTCGTCTTTCGCGAGAGGTGGCTCAGTCGCAGCGCCTTGGCAAAGAGAAGGGAGCGCAGCACCGTCGAGAGCTCGATACCGACGCGCTCGTTTTGGTACTTGGCGTGCACCTTGACGAACGCGTTGGCCGCTTGCACGAGAAAAAGCGACGTGATGAGCTGCAGCACGTACGTTGCATCGAGATCTGAGGCATCGATGGCCGTGAGGATCTCGCCCAAGACAAACACAGGACCGTAGAGATCGCCGGCCACGGACAATAGCTCGAGGCAACCAATGGCAGCGAGCCGCCAGCCGTACAGGCCAAAGAACGTGCGAAGGAGTCGCTGGCCGTGGGCAACATAGCCATTGGCAAAGCGATTCGTCAAAGGCGCGGCTTGAAGCGGCGCTTCCAAGACCCAAAGATCGGCAGGTGCAATCTGCCGCTTGTTGCCGAGCTCGAGAAGCGGGTGCGTCCAGCTAAAGGTAGCGCGCGAGATGAGACCAGCCGTATCGGCCGGGTGCTTTGGGACACTCGGCTGGTCGAACGTGCTGTATTGTAGCTTGTCGCTGCCTGTCATTAGTGCGTTTGGTGGTCGAGCTGCGCTGCTCTGATTTGCGAGTCGCATCGATGGCACTGCAACCTCGGGCTGGTCGACCAAAAAAAACACTTGGTTTTTGTATTCGACTCGCCGTCAAAGAAGAGTGTAGGCACCGTCACTCCCGTTGGATACCCACAGCGAACAAAGTCGCGCAACCATACCAACGGCTCATGCCTGCCACTCGTCGTCAGTAGTCGTAGCAGCTTCTCTGGCACATTTAGAGCTCGCTTGTTGTCTATACTACGTTTCATGGATCGTGGATCGTGCTGTGAGCATTTGTACACGCTTATAAAAAATAATTGCGACTTCTCCTGACGGCTACATCAATGTCCTGGTGGTTGCCATGAGCTATGGCAATTCATTCACCCAAGCCTCGACACTAAATAATGAAGTTTATGAAATAATGAAGTTCATGCAACACCTTCTCTCGATTAACGGTCAGCTAGTATACTGCTCACGCTTCGTCTTCGTCGGTGCTGTGGACGGTCATCTTGTCCATGTACCC